CTGAGGAAAGAGGCCGAGAGCGTTTAGTACCCATTTTGGTGGCTCGGCTGTTTATAAGGACTGGTGATGCACCAGGCGTTATTCTAAGTATCTTCAAATGAGAAAAATGAGGCTCAAGAACCAAGGTACCACAGAAAGCAAATGGCTAAGTGGGCTTTCCAGTTGGACTTGCTCTCATGACACATTGGCATTTTACCCTACCTTGCTGCTTTGAGGTACAATGCCCAGATTGCAAATTTAGTGCTCTTCTGGTTCCAGTGCCCGGGACTATATCAGAGAGTCATTTTTAAAAGTTACCAGTGCTTCTCGGCAGGGAGAGGGTTGTAGCCAGGCACTCGATCATGAAGAGAACTTTGGGGCTGGGACTGGGAATCTGATGGCGAATGAGCTAGGGCTGTGGTGCAGGTGGGACCACATGATCACAAGGAACGGAGGCCTCAATCCAAAAAGATAAAGGCACAGGGTGTTCAGAGTGGCAGGTATATACTTTGCAGTATCTGGAGCAGAAACAATCTTTCATAAAGACAAACACATAAACTTGAATAAAGAACACCAGCTGACCATTGTGCTGGGCTCAGAGTTCCGAAAAAATGCACGGGTGGCTGATCAGGGAGCTGGCGTGCTGACAAGGTCTGCCTGTGCCCGCGGGACCTCACTAGGAATGAGGATGGGGAAGGCAAGCCAAGAAAAGGGGTGCAGTTGCCAGGGTGTGTGAGGTGCAGGTCGGAGAACCTGTCAAGAGGGTTACTTTGTAGAAAGAAAAGCTTTGTTCTCCCGCTGTATTTCCCTATTGCTCAAGGACTGCAACCAGACCCAAGTATTGAGTAGGCCCTGACCACACATGGCATGAGATGCTGTGGTCAGGCTTCAGGACGTACTTTCTGTCACAAGGTAGCTGGGACAGGAGAGAAATAGTCTTTGTTGCCAGTCTTACACACAGGAGAGGTGGGGAATGCCTGAGTATCTTCCTGGGTTAGGGGTGGCCATCAGGGTCTTAGTGGTCCAGGGAGACGGGATGATGATAGGACTCCCTTGAGCGTCAGTCAGTTCAAAACTGTTCCATGGGCAGCTTCTTGTCACTCTGTGTCCCACGCTATTCAAGACTTTCATTCTGTTCGTGCTGATTTTTCTTTTTCTTTTCTTTTTTCCTTTCTTTCTGCTCTGCCTTGACTTCCATGCCTTGCCCTGGATAGCCCCAACACATTTTCAGAGCCCAGTTCGTCAAGAAAAGCTTTTCTTTTCTTTTTCCTTTCTCTTCTTTCTTTTACCTTTCTCCCTCTCCCTCCCTCCCTCCCTCCCTCCCTCCCTCCCTCCCTTTCTCCCCCTCTTCACTCTACTTTCTTGGATCACACCACCTGCAGCTTATATTCCAATGAGAGGAGGTTATGTCTAGCTCCGCCTCACTATAAATGTCCTAAGCACGAAGCTCTTTTCTTATTCACCTGTGTGAACTTGAGTGTTGAGCATTGTACCAGGTGGCCAGTAAATATTTGTGGCACTATAGTGCTATGCACACAGTCGTTACATCGTGGCCAGGTACTTACTCTCCTTTCTGTATACTCAGGTTTCTCTATACAGTGTTCTGTCTGCATATATTCCTACACGCCAGAAGAGGGCACTACATTCTCATTATAGATGGTTGTGAGACATCATGTTGTTGCTGGGAATTGAACTCAGGACCTCTGGGTGAGCTGCCAGTGCTCTTAACCTCTGTGCCATCTCTCCAGCCCCTACTCAGGTTTCTTAAAAGCCAACGGTTACAGAACTCTTCCTGAATTCAGGTCAGTGGTCTTGTCTGTTGACCCAATACTGGTCTTGCCCCCTACAGTATATGTAAGGTCCTTTTGAGCACATCCCCAAGCGTAATGTCAATTGTATTAATAGTGCTTGTAGGATCAGGTTAAGGGAACACAATAGAGTTTGGAAGGTAGACTGCTATACAAAATGTGTAGGAATTGGTTTTATTTGCTTAGCAGCATGTCCAAATCTACAGGACAATGGCCGATCTTTTAATCTGTTTAGCAATGTAGCAATGCCTCTGCTATGGCACAGAACTATATTTCTTCTTGTATAGACAAGGTCTGCAGCAGAGGCCAAGCATGGAAGGGTCGATGACCTCTTATTATTCTCAGTGTTTTTCAGGAACCACTCAAATAATAGCTAAAGCTATTGGACAAGTCCAGATGAGGCACATTGAGAATCTGAGGTAGAACTCCAGGACAGGAAAGGAGAGATGGGATAATGAGCCTTTGGAAACAGAATAAGTGGGATGCAGTGGGATGGGATGGGATAGATGCCACTTCTGAGCAATGATGTTGTCTTTGGAAAAAGGCCAGATATGGGCAGAGATCTGGGAGGAAGATGGCCAAGAGATTTGGGAGCCGAGACACTCAGGAGACATCTATCTGGAGGAAATATTTACTGGGCACAATATTGTTGGGCCAGATTGGCAAGTGTGTGTAGGGCTGGTGGCAGAGGACACTCGTCCAATGACAGGTTGGAGTCAGAGAGTCAGTGGCCACTGAGGTGAAGAACACATTTGGAGAAGAACTAAATTCTAGTTTAGGTAACATGAGAAGACCTGAGGGACCAGAGAGATGGCTCAGTGGGCAAAGGTGCTTGCCACCAAGCCTGAAGACCTGAGTTTGATCCCTGGGACCCACATGATGGAAGGAGAGAACTGACTTCCTAAAGCTGTCCTCTAATCTCCACGTGTGCACTGTGGTATGTGCACATACACGTAGAAGAGCTCATGTGGAGGGGTCAGAGAACAACTTGCAGGGGGTCAGTTCTCTCCTTCCACCCCGTGGATCCTGGGGATTATACTTGGGTCATCAGCTTGGTGCAAGAGCTGCACCATTTCACTCATTCCATTCATGTTGTTCATCGTGTTCTGTGTCTGGAATCAGTTTTTGTTTTTATACCTTTGATTTTGTTTGTTTATTTTACCTGCTCTTTACTTGAATTTGCCCCCCCCCCCCCCCCCCCCCGCCCCCAGCAGCCACTTAGGAGCAGGCCCTTGTGGTCTAGAATCAGGCTGTATGAAAATGGCCTTTGTTTCAGGAAGGTGGGAAAGGTCTTTTGTGTTTGTGATGGGCAGGTGTTCCCTCTTTTTTTGGAGGGCAGTGGGTGAGTGGGTGGGAAGATTGCTCCTGAATACTTGATCATAGGCTAGAGTTGTCCCAAGATAAAGGAGCCTTTCTTGAATGGGTGAGCACCTGGCCCTCCCTTCCCCACGCTCTCCCAGAGGGCTGGGGTGTCTGCTTCCCTCAGACTCATGGTGGCTCAGCTTCTTGAATTGAAGAAAAGGAATATAACTTCCTTTCCCCAGGGTTCATAGAACTGAATGGGGTTAGAGAGTCAGAAGAAAAAAGATGGGGTTGCAAGGGGAGAGAAGTTGGACAATTCTCTCTGAGAGACATTTTAGGCTTCTTCAAATCATTGGCAGACAAGACTTTAAATGAGCTCTGTGTGTTCAGATGAAGCAAAGCCATGGGCCTTTCTGGCTCCATTTGTTTTTCTCCTTTTCCCTGATCTTTCTCAGCTTCTCTAAGAAGGTTCAATACTGATCCTTACCCTCCTTTCTCCCCTCCCCAGTGGTTGCACATGTGGTCTCTCTCTCTCTCTCTCTCCTATATTGAGTTTATCCAGGTGGTGGGGTATGGTAATCATTGCAAATGTCTCCAGTGGGGCATCTGAGGTTACAGGCAGATCTTCATGCAAATGTCACTGTCCTCCACCCTGCCCTCTACTTCCTGAGGCAAGGCCAGAATGTGGTTTCCTGGCTTATCCAATCCAGCTGCTGGGCAGGTGGGGCAGGGTCCTGGCCCCTCCCACCACCTTGCTCTGCGGCTGTGCCGTCTCACACATCATCCCTTCCCATCCCCCGCCTCTTTCTGAGTAGGCTTCCCCTTTTGCCCATCTCTTTCATTTCTCTGTCCTTCCAAAACATAGCAAAACGAATTCAGTTTTTTTCCCCTCTCCATTTTCAATTCTTTACCTCTTCTACTCTATTGAAAACGCAAGCCAAGTTTCAATTCTTACTGTATTAACAGATGGTATGCCTAGGTGTGGCTGGATTTGGTTCCGTGGGAAATGCAAGGAACTTTTTAGAGATGAATTTGGGGTGGGGTGGGGGGCTATGAGAAAAAGACTTTGCCCCAGTGGAACAGCAGCATACCTCAAAAGAGTAGTGTGAATGACTTACATCTGAAGCAAATTTTTAGTCTCTCCTTTGATCACTTACTTCTCTCTGAGGCATTTGCCTTCATTTTTAAACTTCAGGATAATGGCACTTGCCATTATTAGCTTGGTTGAATGCCTTAAGACACATGGTATGTGGGCTGGTGAGATTGCTCAGGAGACAAAAGCACTCACTGCCAATCAAGTGGCCTGAGTTCATTCCCCGGACTCACATCGTGGAAGTGGGGGGGGGGAGGGTAGACTCCAGCAAGTTGCTCTCTGACCTCCACGGGCATGCTGTGGTGTATGTATGCCCCCGCCACACACACACACGCAAAAGAAAATAATGTAATGATTTTTAAAAAGACATGCGAATGCTTTTAGAAGTGAGATTATTATCATGGACAAAAGCGTTGAAACATCGTGTTTATAAGATGAGCTGGTGGTATTGAGAGATTGCCAATGATTCTTTCAGGGTCTAAATTATTTTCCCTAATAGCTTTTCTGCCCATAGTAAAAGCTCAAGCTGGATTGGATGGGGGAGATTGCGGGATGGGTGGGTGAATATTTAAATACCTACCTGCTGGTTTCTAGTCCTGTTTCCCTTTTGACACTGGCACTACTGCCCCCTGCTGGCCAGTAGCAGCATTACAGTATGGCGAGTTCGTAGCTGGGCCCCTCTGGGTTTTCTCCTCAGCCGGTTGCCTGGGCTCCCTGAGCTGGGTCCTTTGCATGGGTCTCTGGCCTGCCATCACGGACAGCCTTCCTTCCTTCCTCCCCCCTCTCACCTCGTTTCCCATCTCCATCTGCCCCTGCAGTACTGCCAGTAACTCCAACCGCAGCACGCCGGCCTGCTCCCCCATCCTCCGGAAGCGGTCCCGCTCGCCAACACCACAGAACCAGGACGGAGACACCATGGTGGAGAAAGGCTCAGACCACTCCTCGGACAAGTCCCCATCCACCCCGGAGCAGGGTGTGCAACGCAGCTGCTCCTCACAGTCTGGTCGGAGTGGCGGTAAAAATTCCAAGGTGAGCAGAGCATGATGGAGACCCGGGACCCCTTGTAAACTAGCTGCAGGAAGGTACTGGGTACTCGTGTGACTGAACAGCCCCTGTGTCGATCAGGCCAGGTCAGGTCAGGTCTGGTCAGGTCAGGTCAGGGTCGGCAAGGGAGACCTTAGTCTAGGCACTCAGGGAGGGTCCTGAGCCACGTGTCCCTCCTCTACCCCACTTCCCATCTCTCTGTAGGCGCTAAGGAGCTTCATGACCCTTGAGATTTAGAGGGGTCTGTGGGGATCAGGAGGGATCATCTGCTTAATCCTCCTTTAAATTAGGTCCCTTAAACTGGTAAAGGGACATTATTTGGGATAACTGTATTGCCAGAAAGAGAGGGCTTCAGGGAACCTTCCAGAGTGCTGTTTTTAACCTCCTCCTTGGCCATCACCCTGCCTTCCCTTTGTACCAACCTATTCATCTGGCAGCGAGGACAGCCCCAGGGTCCTTCCATCCCTCTTGATCCTGTCCTTCCCGCACTGGCACACCCGAGCACTCAGGCTCCTGGTCCAATGGTTAGCACAGAGCCTCACGTGGTGGTTGTGGGTCCTCAGGGTTCTCCTTCCATTCCCAGGCCTCTGGCAACCAAGAGCCCCCTGCCTCCCCCCACTGATCTTATTCTCATTTTGCTTGTTCCTCCCCCCCCCCCCCCCCCCCCCCCCCGCCCAGGTGCGCCCAAACCACCAGACTCACAGGGCATGAGAAAGGGGACCCCCGGGGAGGCGGCTTGGGAGCTGGTTTCCCCCTCAAATTTGTCTTTTGATTTCTTGTTCTTCCTCTTCTCCCCACCGTTCCCCAAATACCTTCTCTGCATGCACGGTCTTAGTCTCACAAGCGCCTCTCAAAAGTAAGCCATCTTTTGTCTCTGTCTTTTGCGCTCCCCCCTCTAGTACCGAATTGTCTGTAGTGCTCAGCCTTCCCTCCCTCCCTCCCCCCCTGCCGATTCTGCCCATATGTCCTGCTTGGTCCCTTTCCCGGAAGGGCCGACCCCACTGTGCCCCACCCCCATCCCTTGGCAGGCTGGCTTGGAAGTCACAGGAGGGACTACTCCCACTGCCCCTGATGTCAGGAAACAGACCCTGCCCCCGGCCGCCCTCCCCCCACCCCCCCCCAGGAAACAGACCCTGCCCCCGGCTGCCCTCCCCCCACGCCCCCACCCCCCAGCACCCCGTGTCTGCCTGCTTCTGAAACACCACCACTAGTGGGAATGTGTTTCCCTCCTGGCGTGGCACTTTCCAAAAGCAGAGTCCTGCAGGGGGTCGTTCCATTCAGTCATAACGTTGTTTCTTGTGGCCCTTTGGTGGGTAAGTCTGGCTTCCCTGGCAGGAAGTGATGAGAGCCTGTCAGGAAGGACCCTTGACAGAGGGTCAGTGATGACCTTGCCAAGGCCTCACGGGATCTGTCCAGTTCATCTTTCCCTCCGCCCCCGAGAGCTACTTGGCCAGGGCACCCCTTACTACTTGCTTGTACCACTCTGGAATCACTTCATGGTCTGCTCAGAGCCCTGGGTTTTTTTTTTTTTTTTTTTTTTTTTTTTTTTTGATCAAAGGGAGTGTAGTGTCAGCACCTGGAGGTTGATGAATGTGACAAGACCCGCCAGGCTCTGGATGTGTGATTGCAGGACGGAGATGTGCCAGACTCTATCTACCCAGGGACAGCGGATCTCTGAGGTCCGAGGGGAAGCTGGAGGGAGTAAATGGCGAGCAATTGGCACTAAGACGGTGGTGCCCAGGGAATCAATCGTGGGGAAGGAGTGCAGTCGGAAGAACCCGAGGGAAGACTTACAACGGTGTCTGCAAGTGTCCTCGGGGAGGAAGGCAATGCATTGTTCATTCCTGATGGAAGAACACGCCCGCTGTGCCCTTCAGACTCAAAGCACTCTCAGGATTTTAAGTGGCTATTGCCAGTTGAGGACAGCCTGGAGTGAGGAAGCCAGCAGGGGTCCTCTCTGGGTGGAGGAGGCTGGGCAGGTTCAGGCTGGCCCGCTATCTGGGGACAGGAGTTAATAAGACTTTCTTTGTGCTCACCCCTCGGCTGCCTTAGTTGAAATGTGTACTAGAGGAGGGCTCGGCTCGAGGCTCATCTGGGAGAGGGGGAGGAACTGGCTGGATGTGGGCGCCAGGTCATTCCTTCTCTCCACGTCTTCTCTGCGTCTTTAGTCTTTCCAGTCCTCAGATGAAGTGTGCCGCTCTTATTCATTCAGTGAGCAGCACAGCTCTTACCTTATTCAATGCTTGCTGACCGCCCATGTGGGGAGGACCACATGGCACAAGCGCACTGGCGGGGGGGGGGGCACTGTGGTCAACCCGCAGCATGCATGTGCAAGACACAGCGACTGCAGAAGACTGGTACCAGAGCCATCATGGGAAGAGGAGGGTTCAATGCAGGTCCAGCTGTTGGACGGCAGGGAAGTGCTGCTGGGATAAGGCCGAAGCTCTTAAGGCTGCCTCCCTGGGGAGCATCCTTTCAAGGTGGCCAGGCCGACTGTGGCTGTGCAGAGGATCTGTGAGCTAGCCGTTTTTGCCCTCGTCATAGCTGAGCCACCCCTGACCACCTCCCGCGAAGAGGCCACCCTGTGTGTTTTTGAAGCAGGCTGCAGGGTGCCTCCCTCCTTTCTCACGGAGGAGGGGACGGATGCAGTCAGGGTCTCTCTCCCCCTTTCTGGCCTCCGTCTCTTCATTTGTTAGATGCAGGGTTGGGACAGGGGAATCACCAAGTCTTCACCTTCCCCATCACCATCATCATCATCACCTCAGTGGCTGAGGCTGATTCTTGTTTCTGCTCAGGACCACGGGGCTGGCTGACTCTCACTCTCAGAAACCCCTGTGTTTTTGGGGCCACAGTCGAGTTGCACCCGGTAGTGATGGCCAGTGGCCACTAGAGGGAGCCAGGGCATGCTCTCCTGCCCCCACCGGCTCAAGAATGCCACCAGCCCTTGCAGGTCTGCCCAGTAGATAGGGCCGCTCAGTCCTTGGCTTGTGCCTTGCAGCTTAGCTCTCCGTTGGTGCTTGGCAATGCCCGGTGCTGTGACACTGGCGCTACTGTGACCTTTCACCTTTTGGTTTGTTTGTTTTGAATTCTAATTTTTGTGGTTTTCTTTTCAGTATGACAAACTTAATCTGATCAAAGTAAGACGTTGTTTTTTTGACACATACCCCCTTTCCCCACACCCCCCTTGAACTTATGCTTAACGTAGAGCTCCTGGCCCCCTTCTCCCTTCACCCCCTACCTCAGCCCACTCTTCAGACTCCTTGAGCCTTGGCTCTGGGAGAAGATGCTTTTGGATGCGAGGGCAGGAAACTGCTATGTGGTAGTTGGAGTATGTTTCCAGGAGCCTCGCATTCCATCTAGTCCTTGCCTGTCTGACTCCCTGTAGGAAATTCCAGAGAAGCCCAGAACAAGTCCTCCGAGCCCTCTTCCACCTCCAGCTCTGACCCTGCCTCCGACAGGGTCTTGGTACTCCCTTCCTTCCCCACTTAACCATCTATTATATGCCCTCAGAGCCTGGCTTCCCTGGTTCAGTGCCTTCTTGCCTTCTAGCCCTATCCAGGCAGAGGCATAGCAGTGGATTTACAGTGGTAGGCAGTCTCTCTGACCTGCCTGTCTGTGCCCCTGTTACCCTCCTGGAGATTAATCTTCCCCGAGGCCTTCATTCACAAGAGGTCTCTTTAGCGCTCTGCCCAGGAATGTGGAGCCATGAGGATGTGATTCTTCCCCAGGAGGCAAGTCAAAGATTAGGAACTCCTTCCTGCTGGGCAGTCTTGAGGGCTAATGTGGAAGTCACTGGAGATGTCAGGCTACGGGTCCTCGAGGCACCTTCAGTACTGGCAGATAAGAAACTGTGTAGCTAGCTCTGTGGTCAGGGGCAGGGCCTCCAAAGTCCATGGGCCCTAGAGGGCACCTTCCTCATCTCCTTTAGCTCGTAGACGTCTTTCCTTGCTCTCACTTTATAAGATAATGAATACTAGACATAAAGGTATCACAGAGCTAGAGATGGGGCAGATGTTCCTAACTGGAGCTCTTGGGACCCTGAAGCTGTGTGTTTCAAGTGCTTTCTTAAGGGAACAACATCTTGATAGTGTATACAGAGAGATCTACTTCTGTCTGCATGGGCAGGAGGAGGGCAGATCCATATCTGAGGATCTCAAAGGATCCTGTTCCCATCGCCCCCTTTCCTCCTTGGGTCGCATACAAAAGTTACAAGGAATGAAGTGCTTGGGTGCGGTTGAGAGACTCCTCATCTGTGGTGCAGGTGACCCGGATTGGGTCAGGGCCAGTGTATCCCAGGATAACTGTGGAGACAGACCTGGGGCGGTGGCTGCAAGGGGACACCTGCTGTCATTGTGATGTGCAGTTAGCCAACATTTCTTGTGGTCCTACAGTCAGCTGTCACTGTGGACATTCAAAAAGTCTATAGAAATGCAGGTCCCGTTAGATACAACCTTCTCGCTCCATCCGCCCTCCTCCAGGCATGTATGGCCTTAGCTGTACGATGGGAATGTTCAAGTCCAGAGTTCCGTCCTACAAAGTAGCAGTTCCCTTGGATATGTGGGTTTGGCCTTCAGCTTCTGGATTGGAGGAGCCAGTGGCACTCTGGTAAAAGACCGTGCTTTCTAGATCAGACCTCAGTGACAGCCTTTGGAGACATGACCACAGAGAGACCCTAGAAGAGGGGGACTGAGTGTCTGCCTTGCTACCTGCTGCCCTGGCCAAGCGGGCCAGTGAATCTGTGTGAGGGAGAAGCATAGTCATGTCTGGTCCCCATCCACTGCTTGTCTCCGGCCCCCAGAGTAGAGGGTCAAAGGTGTCGGGCAGACTTCTGGTCAAAAGGAAGAACTTGCTGAGGGGAGATCACATGAGCATCTGGTCATCGTTGTGGTCACAGTCCTTCACACTCTGGTTCACAGTCACCTCTACCCTGTGCCACACACACACACACACACACACACACACACACACACACACACACACACACACACACAGCTTACCAGCTGACACAGTGGCTGCCCAGTTCTGCATTCACGACACAAGCTCCAGGTTGCCGAGTGTGCACAAGTTCCATCCCTCTGGCACCACTGAGGCTTTGACCAACCTGTTGGTGAAGTTTCTGACATCCACATAGAATGTCTACAAGGAGAGGTTGGAAACGTGGCACATTCCGGCCATCCCTCGTCTTCTACTAGAAAGTTTCAGATCCCTTGGGGAGATCGGAATGAGAAGTCCCCGATAGGAGAGCTGGGACAGAAGGTGGCTTTGTGAATGCCAAGTTGTCACACCATGGGTTGGGAGAAGCCTTTCGAGATGGCACGCCGGACCCCAGCCACCACCCCCCCCACCCTCTGCCGTTCGCGGTCAGGAGGTCAGCCAGTTGTTGGGATAGGGAAAATCCACTCACCTGCCAGCTGGAAGCACGGTGTGACTTTAGGCAGTCCCTTCTTCCCCCTGTCACCAAAATGCCCCCCCCCTCCACCACTCCCAACCCCCGCCTTTGCCAGAGATGACCCGGAGCAGAAGGCTGTACTGGGCTCCATCTATACTTGGCTTCTAGTCCAAACCCACTTGGGGACTAGGCTTTGGATGCCGACCACACATCCCACACCCCCATCCGAAGAACCTGGCGATGGGGCTCCGGCTCCCTTCCGGTTGAGCGCTAGCTTAGTGCTGCCACTGCCTGCGTCTGAACCGCCCCAGCTGTGGTGGAGCTTCCAGCATGGACTGCTCCCTGGGCCTCCTTTCCGGGGCTGTCTTGCGAAAGGAGGACCCTCCTGAGCATCCACATGGGAAGCATTCAGCTGCATTGGGACTCCTTCGCCCTGGCCGCCCTCTGCTGTCCTCTGTCACCTTCACCCAGGGGGAAGGAATACTCTGGCCACTTGCCGCATCTCTGCCCTGACTAATTTCCTTCTCTCTCTTTTTATTGTGTCTTTTCAGAAAAGCCAGAGTTGGTACAATGTAAGTATTTCTGTTTTTCTTCTTGTTGGGTAAATAGTAAAATGGGTGTGTGGTGGTGGGTGGGGTACAAGGTGGGCAGAGGGAGGTGGGCAGAGGGAGGTGGGCAGAGGGAGGTGGGCAGAGGGAGGGGAGAGTGTCAAGTACAGCTTGGGTCCTCTGAGTTCTTGCCCTTGTCAACCCAAAATAGATACAGTACTTCCCATCTGCAGCAGGCTGGAGATAAGCCTTGGGGAGCAGGGTTTGATCTGGGGACATGAAGAAATGCCCTGCCTCTTTGCTTTCCTCATCTAGTGCCCTATATGAAGTCAGGAAGCAACCACGGGAGAGTGGCTGTTTCAAGGCCAGACAGAATTCAGGGGTCAGGGGAACCAGGGGGCCAAAGTTCGCATCCGCTAGCCAGGACATTTTGGGGGAAGTGGAGTTGAGAGACTGTGCTGTGTGATGGAATTTGTCGCTGACATCCAGTGTCCTCCAGAGCATGTTCCTGATGAAGGGCTTGGCTGCTTCCGGTCTGTAAAGCAGAATCTTCTTAGGTCACCCCAGTGGTCACATGTTCAGAATCGTCTTAGGTCACCCCAGTGGGCCGTTCCTCCAGCTCTGGACCCTGAAAATGCTTTGTGGCGTTAAGCGGTCCCTGCGAAGGCCCCATTCTCCTTGCCGCGTAGACCAGGTTGTGAGGCCCCGACCTCCTCCCTGGAGGAACAGCCAGCGAAAGTCTCTCAGCCTGCCCTGGTCACATGTTCAGGGCCTTCAGGAGGACTGCCCAGTGGAAGCGCTGGTGTGTCCGGCGGTCTGCCTTCAGACCCTGGTCTCCCCTTCTTGGAGCCGGTCTGTGCTGAGAATACCATTCTTCCTCCCCAACTCACCTCCTCGTGTTCCTGCTTCTGCTCCAGGGGGAGCTAAGGCTTGGAGCAGCCATCATCAGGATGGTGGAATGACGGGGTGGGAGGGAGCAGCAGACGGGCTTCAGGAGCGGCTCGTGTTTAACGCGGGGCTGGGGGTCCCAATCATCCCTCTGCAACGTGGTAGTAATTAGTTCCTCAAGGTAGACACATGTCAGCTAGTACCCTGGCTTCCCCCAAGCTCCTCTGGGCCTGCCTATCCCAGGTGCTTAGTATGGATCTACCATCCACACCCCCACTGAGCACCCCAAATGGCCAGAGACGCTGAGCTCTGCCTCTTCTTGCCTGTTCCTTCACCCCGACTCACCAAGAGGCCTCTGGCCTCCTCTGGCTGATGGCTGCTCCTATCTTAGAGCGAGGAGCTCTCTCTACGTGGGAGCGAGCCATCCCGGCCCAGCTGTGGCAAATACCCCAGCATCCTCTACCCAGTAATCTCCTTTTGAGCGGCATTGTATAAATTAGTGTCACCTACGGGAAACAGAAAACACATGGCCGCAGTGTTATCGGGCAATTAAAACATCCAAATTTGGACAGGCAGATCCTGTCTTTGCTGCGGCTTTGGCTCTTGTCGCCCCCTTTCTCCTCCCATGGCTTTTTAGCGCAGCTGCTTCTGTTTCGCCTCGCTTTCTCCAGTTCCCTGTACGGCTCCCCGCTCCGTGCTCTCTGGCCCGCACCCACCATCCTTTTCTTTCCCCACTCTGTGCTCTTCTCTGTTCTCTGCTTCCCAGTCACCTGGCTGATAACTCTCTGTTTCTTCCCGATTGCTACGAGTTCTAAGCTGGGCCACCGCTCCACCACTTCCATCTCCACGCCCTCCCTCAGCCTGTGACATCTGGATACTCGGTGTAAATGACAGGCTGGGAGACCATGCCTGCCCCCCCCCCTTGCTTGGCTGGAGCATGGGGGTGGGTCATCTGTCTGCAGCTGAACTTGACAGGTGCTTTTGAACTTGTACATCCTCCAGACTGACCACCCACACATCCCTTTCTCCCTGCTCTGGGCCACTGCCTATGGGTGCAGGAAGTAGAAAGGATTGAAAGTGGAGGAGGAGATAGAAATAAATGGTGGTTGAACATCGGGACTCCAGAAACAGAGTTTCCAGTTGCCCTAGCTGCAGGTACTTAGAGGTGTGCATGGGAACTGCATAATCTGTAGCCCCTGCTTTCGCTTCTTCCTGTATCTCCTGGACAAGAGGTAGCTCCTGAAGAGCTTGATCCGTAACTGCAGCCGTGGAGAGGCAGGTTGGCTGTGGTACCCAAACGGGCTAGTTGGATGGGATCCCCCCGCCCTTACTGATGAAACAGATGCCCCGGTTCAGTTTTCCAGAGCCACTTATTAGTGTAGTTAGCCGGTCTGTTTGACACTGCGGAAGTCTCCCCCGGGTTCTCTCTGACCCCGCTGGTACATTTACCCCGGACGTTGGCACAACTGCTTTGGCTGACCCTGGAATCTATGACCTGGGTTCTCCGAGAGCCACCTGCTGGGTAGGGTTTTATAGCCCTTGCTGGGCCCTGGCTGGCTAAGTACCCTTTTCTCTCTGAGTGCTGTGGCTCTGCCCTCTACACTTGTGTTCAGATACATCACGGGGGGGGGGGGGGGGCTTCCGTCGACCCCTCCCTCAGCACTACCCCTTCATAGTCTACATGGGAGGCTCTCAGCCTACCCTTGTTGTTATGACCTGCTTTCCCTTAGACCTACCTTTCTGTTGCTCCCTGCTGGCCGGCTGGCTGGAATCTGACCCTCAGAGAGCATCCTGGTGTCCTGTTCCTGTGGCTCTACACAGCGCCTTTTCCCTTTCCCCCAGCTAGGGTCAGCTCGCCAGCTACGACGATGCCTCAGGTTCTATCCCTGGCACTAGGAGTCCTTCAGGTAGATGCAGGCTTTCTAATCCCCTGCCCTGGGGCCAGGCTCGAGTCAGGGCCCTGCAGAGCGCTGACAGCTCCAGGAGTCCCCGAGACCTGTTCAAGGGGCCTGGATGGAATTCAAGAGGAAGTCATCCTGCCCCACCGTCACCACCACCAGCCTGCCGAGGAGAAGAGTGACTAATTCATTGTCCTGCAACTAGCCAAGGGAAGCAAAATAACAGACTAACCTGAGCTGAAGGGTGGGTCCTAAGAAAGGAAGTGGCTGGACCCTAGTGACGTGGGCAAAGAGTCCATGGAGTTGGTGAACGTCAGGGTCAGGGTGGAGTGTGAAGACCTTGTCTTGTGCAACTGCCCTGGGGCCCTTCTCACCCTTCACCACCACAACTGACCAGCTCATTTCACTGAGCAGGGCCTCCAGCCTGGGAGTACAAAGGTGCAGCCCCAGTGGTCAGGAGCTGAAGGGGTCAGGTGACAGGGCGTTGGAACTGTAGTCAGAAGTAGGGGTGGTCAGAGGGGTACCATGTGCCTTTCAAATATGCTCCTCCCCGGTCCCGGTAGGCACGGGTCTTCCCGAGCTCCAGGTGGGCAGATAGACCCTTCTGCCTTACGTCTCATTCCTGGGGTGTTAGTGTTTCCATAGCAACTTAGGGACAAAGCCTAGAATAGGGCAGCTGCTGGAGATGGCACCCACATTGTCTGACACTGTCCTCTGCTGGGAAAGCTGGCTTTAAGGAAGGGAAGGAGAGGTGGAGCCAATCCCGGGAGTGACACACAGGTCTGGCTGGCATCTGTTTGGGAGCAGTAGGGCAGAGCTTTCTAGGAGGGGGATGCAGGTATTGGGGTAGCAGAGATGACACACCCAGTGCCTGATATTTCCTCCAAGGGCTGTCCTTCCTCATCGTCTGTCTGTCTCCCACCTATGATTTTACCCGTGACTTCTAAGAATCTTCCTGACGGGTACCCTCACGACAGTCAGCCCTATCCTTCACTCCCCGGTGGTGGTATGACCTCTCCAGATGAGACCCCCCTCTCCCAATCCTAACCCCTTCCCCACCCTTCTGCGTTGCACCCGTGCCCACCCCGTGTTTAGTCACTATCCCTTGTCCTTGTCCCACCCACCTCTGGCTTCTGCTTACCGGATTTGGCCGAAGCACCAGGATTTCCTTTGTGGATCTTAACTGGTTTCTCCCTAGGTGAGGTCAATGCTGAACCAATTTTTTTTTTTTTTTAAATCTGGGCTCTCTCACCCCCTCCTTCCTGCTGAACCTGGAGAAAGGGTACCAGTTGGTCCCAGCACCCAGTGTTTGCCATAGAGTTAATGTTTAGCTAAGAGCCAATTCTGGCTCCCGGAGTTCTGGCCCTGCCCTGCCCAGCCCTTGGTGAGGGGGTGGAGACAAGACCAAACGCAGACTGAGACTCATCTACGACAGTATCTCTCAGGGTGTAAACTGTCCCTGTCTTGTTCAGTCACCATCTCACCTTTTCTGTGTCTCTGGCCTGGATACCAGTATTTCCAGGGAGAATGTCTGTTTAAGTATCTGGAGCCTCCTGGAACTGTCCACACTGCCTGTATCTTGGGTGTGGTGTGGTCCTGAAGAGATGGGTTGTGATCACCCTGGAAAATAGAATTGCTGGATTCACCTGCCACAAAATTTGAGGACCACTGACACACAGGGCAGGGAGAACTTGATCTTAGGATAGAGTCAGGGCAGGGACTACGCTCCAAGAAGCCAGGCTTGTGGTTTAGGGATGTGTGTGTGTGTGTGTGTGTGTGTGTGTGTGTGTGTGTGTGTGTGTGTGTGTTGATAAGATGCCAATAGAGCGATAGGGAATACATTCATGTGGTAGATAATTTTTACACAATATATGAAATACTAAGTTCTAGAGAAGATTAAATTGAAGGGTGGCTCATTCCTGGGGAAGCTGGCATCCAATGGAGTGCGGTTTACCTTAGGTTAGGTGAAGGCAAGTGTCCTTCAAGATGGAAAGGGGAGGGAGTTAGAAGATGCCTTGGGTGAGGATTCTTTCCCCTCTGTTTACCCTACCAATGGCTGTCATGTTCCTCTTAACTGGAGTCTTCGGGTCTGAGACCCAAGAATCCGTATTCTTTGGCTTCATTTTTAAAGTTTAAGCATAGGAAATTACTAAGGTTTATAAGACAAAGGAACATTACCCATAATGCAACAGCCTGAGACCTTCCTGATAGGGTAGGCTGTCTGGGTAGAACAAGGGAGCTGCCGCGATTATCTCTAGGATCTTGGGAGTCCACGCCCTCCCGGTCCCCATGCTGCCTACTCCTCCTCTCCCTGCCTAGGGCTGTGGTTCTCAACCTTCCTAATGCTGCGACCCTTTCGTACAGCTCCTCACGCTGTGGTGACCCCCAACCGTAAAATTATTTTTGTTGCTACTTCATGACTGTAATTTTGCTGCTGTCATGAGCCATGAGGTACATATCCGATATGCAGCCCCAGTGAAAGGGTCATTCATTCCCCAAGGGGTCATGGACCCCAGGTTGAGAACCCTGGTGTAGAGAGCCCGTTCTGCCCTCACGGCCCGGCTGCCGTCTCTCTTTTACCGTCTCCCTCCTTCTCGTCAGGGCCCCTAGGTCTGCTCTTATGTTGCTCTTTCCCCTCAAGGTCCCAGCAGCCACCCGCGGTTCTGCTTGGCTTTGCCCCGAGGCCTCCGTGTATGGAAGGCAGGACTCAGTCCTTGGGCAAGCACCTCGGGCCGACCTCATCTTCTCCAGTCTGTCCGTCTGACCTCTCTGCACATTTGGAGATTCCCATGTTTGCTGCTGTTGCATCAGAGGAGTTTGCCCAATAGACGGCTCCTTAAGGGAGAGCTGTTTCTTAAGAGACCCCTCCTCTATTCAGTCTCAGATTTCAGATTTCACCAGAACTGTGATGCCCTGGGCACCTCCCCTTCTCTTCCTCCACCGAGAGCCCTGGCCAGCAACTTTCCATTGCAGGAAACATCTGCCGGTTGAGGCCAGGCTAGGCCTGGGGTTACTGCAGGACATTGGCCAGGCCCATCACCCGGATCCTGTAACTTGAAGCATGTGCGGGGCTCTGGCCTTGCCCGCCCACCAGCCCTGCCTCCCTCCCTCAGGCCCCAGTGACTCTTAACAAAGAAGTCATTCGCTGGCCAGCTGAAAGGAGTGCCTTCTGGAGGCAAAAGGGGTGTGTGTAGGGGTGGGGATGAGAGCAGGCTCCGTGCTGTGCCGCTAAGTGGTGGCCCGTTCTGCCTGGGTGAGAGATGTGAGTCACCGCAGTCCTGGTCTGATGGGGGGGGAATAGAAAAGTACACTGAACAGGTCAGTCCTTGGGGGGCAGATCTGGACTAAGGATCTGGGCCATCATGGGCCTCTCTGGAGCGTCCAAAGAGTCACTTGTGAGTCACTCTGAGTGTGAGTAGCTAGTGGAAAGAGACCTCTGGACCCAGCTGTGGCTCATCCTGCTCTGCAGAGTTTGCCCGTTCATGCAGGGGCTGCCCTTCCGCAACTCCCAGCCCGTGTTGTGTACCGGCTGTATCTATGCCTACGGGCCTCGCCTGGACTCTTGAGTGGCTGCACCCACCAGGTAGTATTGCCTGACCGCACCCCCAGAGTGTGGCTGCCCCCAGACTGAAGACGAGGGAAGGATGACGCGGAGTCCAGCTGTGAGACACCATCGGCCAGCCAACCTGCTCTGAGAACCATGCGTATTATACCTTTTCATTTGTGAGAGTTTGCTCAGGGGGCACGGCTCTGAGAGAGGAAGAGACAGCAGCCAGGGTTATAGAGACCCTCTGTGCAGAAGCCAGGGACCACCTTGTGTTCAGTCCAGGCGAGACTCACCGTTTTCATTCCGAGGGGACCCGAGAACCAGCATAAGGACTTGGGGACCCTTGCCTGGGACATTTGTTGGGGGCGATGGAATCTCTGACAGAGTCTGGGGTCCTCTGGAGCCTCCTGCTGGAACTGGACAGCCAGTCTCTGCTGTGGTACTTGAAGAGGCTTGCTGATGGTGTGGAATGCTACTGTGGGCATGGATCTGAGAAAATCCCAGCCGTGAGTGTGTACCCCGCATTCTCGGGGGTTCTGTGACTGTTCTGTGTACTCTCTCATGCCACCCTTGGCCCTGCTGAGAGAGAGCCTCAGACTTGACAACCCTTGAGCCAGAAATTTTTTTGGCCATTTTACAGAGGTGAGCCTTGCCTCACCTTTGGGAGAGAATGTTTAAGAGTACATAGGAAGTGGGTATAGGGGGCCTAGGTTCCCCAGCATCGAAGGGGCATAGGATTGAAAGCCAAGTATTCCCATCCAGTGTGTCTTTGTACTGTAGTACAGAGAGGCTGGCCGACCATCTGCATCAACAGACAATAGAATAAGGCAGCTAGGTACAAATGTGGAGTAAGGAGGCCTTCCCTACTCTTCCCCACTGCTCTAAGCACAAAAGATGGATGTCTTTTCCTGCATGCTTTTGGGAGATTGTACCTAGACTCCTGTGCATCCATCTCTGTGGGCCCTGGAATTCTCTCATTGACTATGGTAGAAGCCCAAGGAAGATGACACTGGACGAATGAAATATTGGAACTAGGAGGACTCTAGGTGTCGGGTTACCAGATACCCAGTTTCCCTTGAAGTGGATTGGGGGCCCCCTGGTAGGCTGTTTCTCATGAGAAGCTAGTGGGAGCCCCAAAGCTGGCGAGTATCTTCTCCCATGAGTGTGCTGTTGCGGGGAAGCCCTGTGGTTTTCTTTTTAGTGGTTGGATAAGACTCATGTTCCGTTCCCACTGGGTCTCCACATTCCTCAGGCAAGCTGCTTAACCTCTGCCTCATTTCCCACAAGTATGAAGTGGGGTAATGAAATCTACCCTGTGGTGAGGTGCGGTGATGTATGTGGAGGACGTATGCTTGCTCTTGCTGTGGGGTGTTTACAGTTGTCTAGAAGGTGAGATATAATGAGGACTACATGAGCTGTCAGCTTGTCAACCAAGGGTTTCCTGTGTGCGAATTCTCTTCTAGAGGGTGGGACATTTGCATCGTATCTAGTGATTCTCGGAGGACTGTTGTATCTGAGGTCTTTGTTTGTTTGGGTTTTTTGTTTTGTTTTGTTTTGTTTTTCTGAAACAGGGTTTCAACTCTGTAGCCTTGGCTGTTGGGGCACTCACTCTGTAAACCAGGCCTCAAACTTAGAGATCTGCCTGAGATTAAAGGTGTATGCCACAACCGCCCAACCTGAGGTCTTTTCTAGCACTAGAAATTATAGGATAGATAGGCTTCTAGATGGCTTCCTCTAGTGGTCTGGAAACCTGGTTCACGCTCACATAGGTGACTTGGGAAGTTTGACATCATATGATGAGAGTGTGGTATACTTTGGAGAAGGTTACTGGGCCTTTCACATTACACATGTAAGTAAGTCAAGAACAAAAGCTTGAAATTCAAATTATAGACCGATTGACGAGAGGTTCCTTTTCCTCAGCTCTTCTCTGGTTTCTCCCTCTTGGAGCTTCAACCCAAACTGAGCTCACACAGTTTTCTCTCTCTCCAACTCCCTTCACGTTCCTCTTCCTCTAGTTAGGGCAACAGGCTGTCATGGAGGCAGGCAGCTCTGGGTTCAGACGCGATCACTCCCTGACTTTGTTTCCACGTGGGTCATTTAGCTTTATAGAAAGTTGAAACATGAACGGTCGAAGGGTCCGTCCCCTACCAGCTGTGTGCCTGTGGATTCCCAGGGAAGTGGGTGAGGGGGTAAGAGGCCAGGAACTACATGTCACTGCCAGCAGGACAATCTGTCCCTCAGGCATGTGTCTCTGGCAGAGGGTCAGCAGCCTAGAGTGTGTGTATTAAGTAGGTCAGCACATGGTCGGGTAGAATGCAAATGTGCCTTTGTCCTCATGTGTGGCTCTCCCTAGGTTGTCTTCTTTTTTATATCATCCCCGAGTGGCCTTCATCTATGGACACCCATCTTTTTTATTTCCATTCATTTTTGTAAAAACTTTCAAGCTGTATGCCTTGAAAGGACAGAATTCCTAACTATTCCACTGGCTGGTGGGATTTCCAGGGAAGATTTGCCAAATTATTCTATGGGAATGACCAGGCACGGGATGCATAACTGTTTTTTTAGGATCTGGTTCTCTATAATGTGCACATCACTGGTCCTCTCCTGGCTTCTGTGGCTTATGGAGAATGGACTCTCATCCTGGAGTCGGGTGCCCTTAGGCATGCGGCTTTTCTCTTCCTTCAGTTTCCTCATAGTACTTGGATTTGGTAGATCATTTGGTAAGAACAGGGAGGGAGGTGTCATGCCTGTGTGCCAGAAGGATTTTTAACTTTACAATTTGTGTTTCCCTTTTCTTTTCTTTCTGTTACTGGAGATATATATATATATATATATATATATATATATATATATATATATATATATATATATATATATATATATATATATATATATATCCAGATTTTATTTTCCTTAGTGCCATGTTTTATGATTTAAAAAAAAATCATGTCTTTAGCTCACTGTGTTAGTCACAACAAACTTCAAGAGGTACGCAGTGTCCAACCCTCTTCCAAGTCCTACTGAGATCTAGGTTGGCCCTCAGGTCTTTTCCACTGCCAAGGCAGAGCTGGCAGGAAGCAGGGCAGTGATAGCTGGCATCTTAGGTCCTGGGAAGACCTTTGAAGGTTTCCTTCCTTGCTTTCTCTTCTTGGGACATTTGTGGGCCCCATAGTTCTCACTGACCGATGCTGCCTGAAGGGTTTTTCAGGACTGGCTCCTCTGTGCTATCTCTCCGCGCCAAGGCCCCTTTCTTAACCTGGCCTCTCAGGGGCTACGGCAAGAGAGCTTCATCTCTCTGCTTTTCTGACGCATAAGCATTCCCCTCCTTCACCCCAGCGCCCACCTCTAACCCTATAGCGTGCGGACACCTCGTGCTAATCTTGGCTGTTGTTGTGCAGGTGTTAAGCCCCACTTACAAGCAGAGAAATGAAGACTTCAGGAAACTCTTTAAGCAACTTCCAGACACGGAGCGCCTCATTGTTGGTGAGCTGGTAACCTGGGAGGGGGCCAACCAGGAAGTTGTCTGGGAGTTCCAGAGAGAGCACTCAGGCTGCCTCTGCCAGAGACTGGGAGCCAACACAAAGCAAGCAGGTTGAGCTGGCAACAGGCGACATCTTACGTCCCAGATCTTAGGATCAAGCACCATGCCTGTGGCATGCATCCTTGAGAGGCCACCCTGGAGGGATTCAGAGGCACACTTAGCTCTGCAAATGGCCACTCCATAGAGCCACTTGCTGCCGTGGTAGTAAGAGGATGGAAGTTAACTGAACAGCACGGGCCTTTTTCATTGTTCTAAGTCCGGCCCATTATTGGCTATCATACTCATTCACTATCCATCTCCTCGGTGTTTTTTTATCATGAGATGTTAGAGACTCCCTTGGCTGCTAGATCAAGTGGCTTGTATACCTAGTCAGCAGCAGATGACTAGACTCCCCCCAGTGCTGGAGGGATGGGTGGCACACTCAGTCTACACTGGTTTGCTGAAAATGTCCCCTGCCTCTGAGCTTCCATATCCTGCTTCCTACACAGATTACTCATGTGCACTCCAAAGAGACATTCTTCTTCAGGGCCGACTCTACCTCTCAGAAAACTGGATCTGCTTCTACAGCAACATCTTCCGATGGGAAACTTTGGTAAAGACCTTGAACTTGGGTTGGTGTGGGACTGTGGGTGATGCAGGTGTTGTATCTTAGTGGCTATATGCTTACCGCTTACCCAGCATGTACAGGCTTGTCCCCAGCATGGTCCCCAGCATCGCAAAAAGAAAAGAAGGGAAAGATGTGCTTGGTCCCCAGCATCGCAAAAAGAAAAGAAGGGAAAGACCCAGACTTATCCCTTTGGACATGGTCTTGGCCATGACCGAGCAAGCTGCTTTCATTTTTTTCATTTACTGACTTTGTGTTCTTCCCAAGCCTTTATAGTGTGTCCCCTCCACCCCTACCCCCGAGACAGGGTTTCTCTGTGTAGCCTTGGCTGGCCTTGAACTCAGAAATCCTTCTGTCTCTGCCTTCTGAGTGCTGGGACTAAAGTCATGCGTCACCACCCCGGCTCTGCCTTTTTATTGTTAACACCAACCCAGGCCTGAACACTGGAGGATACCCAATTTTGAATCACAGTCATGGCATCTCTTCTGCCATGTACTTCTTTCCCATCTCTTGGGTGTGGAGGACAGTACACAAAAATGTTTTCCTTTGTCAAACGCACATAGCTATCTGGTATGAGTTGTGGCAGAGCGAGGCACAGTAAAGCGGGCAGGGCATTGGCTGAAGGGCTCAGAAGAACTGACTTGCTCACTTTCTGGGTTCTGCATTTTATTACTTGTGATCTTAATTTTTTTAATTTGCCTTTATTCCCTCATCTTTTAAAAATCAGATGGAGAAAAGTTACTTAGATGATTTTATAAGCCCTCCCAGCACCAGTGTTCTGTGTTTTCGTCAGTAGCAAAAATGGCAGCTCCTCTGCCCATATATTGGGTTGCAGAACCTAGGTACCATGGCCAGAGATGGTTCCTTGGTACATGGCCTCTGTGGCATAAGGTGCAAACTGTATCATCTCCAAGTTGGTCCCTTCCAGGGCCAGAGTTATGAGAACAGATTTTGTCTGGCAACTTCTAGTGCCCCATGAACACTTTTCGCCTGATTGTGCTAATGCCCTCTTTTGCTTGCTGCTCTGTCACCATGGTGATGCCAGCTGACAGTCCGTTTGAAAGATATCTGTTCCATGACTAAAGAGAAAACAGCTCGCCTCATTCCCAACGCCATCCAAGTCTGTACCGATTCAGAAAAGGTGAGTGTTGTCGAGTTCTGACCTTTCTACCCGTGCACCTCCACACCCCACTCCCCATCTCCCCACTCCTGAATTCTTACCCTTAACTCACCTTGATCTTTAGACTGATGGGTTTGGAGCGGCAGGCAGTAAGCAGGGTACAAGTTCTAGAAAACACTCCCTGGGTGAGCAGGGTGGTTGAGGGCTGAGCAGGGGCTTAGGGTTGCATGTCAGAACTTTGAGCGAAAACACCCAGTTTTGAGTCCTGTGACTATAGACTATGCATATTTAGATTTCGTTGAAGGTTGATGGGTCCATAGGTTTGTCTCATCCTCTTTATGCTGCATCCCAGCTCACCTCTTGCCCAGTTCCAGTTGGTGAGCAAAGAACATTTTTATTTTTGAAGACACAGTTTAGAACTAGAGTAAAAACCACAGAAGAAAGTCTGGGTAAAATATTGAAGGGCTTGGTTCTCGTTGGGACTTGGAGATTTCAGGTCCCCTGGGTGCTGATGATTTTGGGTAACTGACAGTCAATAGGATTTGAGACTGAGTATTTTGAATAAAATAATTTTTTTTATTGAATGTGTTTCTCGTCACTATGTTAAAAGTTTTCACAGATGTTTCTCTGCATCTTCTGCTTCCATCTAGCACTTTTTTACTTCATTTGGGGCCCGGGATAGGACATACATGATGATGTTCCGGCTCTGGCAGAATGCTCTCCTTGAAAAGGTAAGTACTGAAGGGCATAAAATCCCTCTGTTAGTATATCTATATGGATGGATGGATAGACAGACAGATAGATAGGAAGGATTGGCTCTGTCCTTCAGCCTGGGAAGGCCATCCACCCATAGTGTTTTTCTCACTTGGATATTGTCCTAGTTGGGAAGCGTGCTTTTATTGTGGTATGGCTGGCTCTTAGGGAGCCCATGTCTCTGGAAATCTTCCACTAGTAAACTTGACCTGAGTCCTGAACAGAGTTAGCTTTTTTTTTTTTTTTTTTTTTTTTTAATGAGAATGCTCCAGCACTGTCAGGAGTCAGGCACCTATGATTTGGGGCACTTTAGTCCCACTGTTTTATACTTCTCCAGGGCTTGGGTTAACCAAGTAGAATGAAGCAGGTAGCCATAGACATGACTGCTGTGAAGGAAGCCGGTTTCCTATCCACAGGTTCTCCAGAAATTAGGCATGCCATACAAGTCATGCCAGGCCACATTGAAAAGCACTGGAGCTGCTCAGGAGGCAAAGGGGGCAGAAGAATGGGCAAGAGCCTTTACTGTGGTCTCCTGGGATCAGCTGGGGAGGTCAGGAGGAGCAGGTCATGTAGGTCAATAAAGAAAATAAGAAAACTCAGTCAAGTTAGCCACCAACTGATGGCTGGTGAGTTAGGTTGGAAGGAGACACAGATGGAATATTACAGCCCATGTCCATTGAGAGTTCCCATTTTGAAGCTGTCAGATGTTGGGGGAACTCTCCAGGCCAGAGAAACAAATGTAAGGGGAAAAAAATCCCTATATAAATAATATGTACCTCTAAATAGGTTACCATATAATTGACATGATTGTATTTATCTTGACTCTAGCCTGAGCGAATTACTACCTGGAGAAACCCAACCAAATTAATTTTTATCTATAGTTGTTTTTTTTTTTTTTTTAATGTGAGTCTCTAGGGCCCTAGTCTAAACCTTGGTAGCTTTTTGAGCTGAGATCTCCTGACCTTATCAGGCATCAGTAATGGTAAAGTGATAATGGGCCTGCATATTTACTGGCAAGTTCGATTTTTCAGTTCACATCTGTTGTCATTTCTGAATAAGGCACAGAGCCATGCACTTGGCATCTAAATGTCTCCCAAAATGACTTTATTAATTTTATCTAACGAGAGTCTGCTAACTGCTCTTGTCCTGACCATGTGGACTCTAGCTGAGCCAGGCAGAACTGGTCAGGGAAAGCAGTACAGGGAAGGTGAATGGTGAGGAGGCTAGGACGGAGTTGGACAGAAAGCAGGTACGTCCCAGGAGGGAAGAAGGGTGTCCATGTAGGCTAGAGACAGGTAAGAGAGGAAAGGCTTATTCTCCTGGTCATCACTGAAAGCCAGCGCTCAACACCCGCTGGTCCAGAAACAGGCCCCAACTGTCCTGCTAAGTCAGAAAACTGGAAGGCTGACTTAAGGGATTCTTCCAGATGCCCGAACCGTTCCTTCAACGTGTGGGTCTGGAGACCTCTCGTATTATCTGGAAAGTCTGTTAGTGTCAGGACTCCTGAGTTTCCACTTATTATTTATTTCTCGTTATTGGTTGCATCTCTTTTCCTTATGCTCTTGTTTGTCACGTACGTGTCACAACCACTTTCTCCCTTCTTTTTAGTCTGTGACTCAATAACGGTTCCACCCATGATCCTGGTTTCTTTGACATTCATTTGCTTCCCTCTGGAAATTGTACCCTATGAAAACTAGTTTTTCCTTTTTCTAATTTAAATTTTTCATTTCATTCTCCTCTTCCCCCACCCTCACCCCACCTCCCTCCCACTCCTCAGAGGGGGTAAGGCCTTCCTTGGGGAGTCAACAAAGTCTGGCATACCAAGTTGAGGCAGGACCAAGGCCCTCCTCCCTGTATCAAGGCTGAGTAAGCTATCCTTCCATAGGGAATGGGCTCCAAAAAGCCAGTTCATGCTTCCGGGATAAGTCTTGGTCCCACTGCCAGGGGCCCCCAAAACAGATCAAACCACACAACTATCACCCACATGCAGAGGGCCTAGGTCAGTCCCATGCAGGTTCCTCAGCTGTCAGTCCAGAGTCCATGAGCTCCCATTAGCTCAGGTCAGCTGTCTCTGTGGGTTTCCCCATCATGATCTTGACCCCTTTGCTCATATGATCCCTCCTCCCCCTCTCCAACTGAACTCCAGAAGCTTAGCCCAGTGCTTGGCTGTGGATCTCTGTATTTGCTTCCATTAGTTACTGGTTGTAGGTTCTGTGATGACAATTAGGGTAGTCACTAATCTGATTATGGGGGAAGGCCAGTTCAGGCACCCTCTCCACTATTGCTAGGAGTCTTAGCTGGGATCATCCTTGTGGATTCTTGGGAATTTCCCTACCGCCAGGTTTCTCCCTAACCCCGTAATGTCTCTCCCTATCAAGATATCTCTTTCATTGCTTTCTCTCTCTGTCCCTCCCCCAACTCAGCCATTTCAACCCCTCCTGGAAAACTAGCTTTTCTTAGGACAGTGTTTTTAAAGAGGACAAATAGACGCCTCCTCAATAAGCAAACACTGGGAACTAGACATAGGATTGTACACAAATTGATTGCCCTTCAGAATGAAGAAGGAAATATTCAGGTTGTCAGGAGAGAGCTGGGGAGATGACCTTTCATTTCTGTGGTGTTGCAAGACTGAGTCAGGGCACCTATGGATGTTCAGAGATAACTGTGGCCCTAGATTAACATGGGTGTAGGAGGCAGGGTGCTTCCCATCTCCAGAAGGCCTGTTAATCCCATTCTGCAAAGCTCTGTTGAAGGGGCAGGCAAGGAAGGTCGAGATCCTTGGTTTTGTTGGAATCTACATTTTCAGATGGGAGACCGGCATCTGACTGGGATATCTGAGGTGGGTGGCATTGTCATAGAGGTGTCCTCTCTATTCAGTTGGGAAGAGGGTCCTTTGCCTTCTTTCCCCCCAACGGGGCCAGCCTGGCTTAGCGCTTCTGTGCAGAATGGCAGGGCCTGAGGGAGGGCGATCCAAGTCACTCTCTTCTCTCTTGCAGCCACTGTGCCCCAAGGAGCTCTGGCACTTTGTCCACCAGTGCTATGGGAATGAGCTGGGTCTCACTAGTGATGATGAGGACTACGTGCCCCCGGACGATGACTTCAACACCATGGGGTGAGTGTGGCCTTGGGTGAGCCTCCCAGAAGATATCAATGAGGAGATCATCTGGAAAATGGTATCTGGGTATCACCTTACAGGAAACAATGGAGGGAACCAGAGCTTCAGGCAGAAGGAACAGTAACAGTAATTAGAAATGGTCAGAGATGGAGCCAGGAGGTCAAGGGAGCAGGGACTAGCAGTAGCCCTTTGGCCAATGTGACAGTTGGCTTTTAGGCAGAAAGGGATGGGGAGGTTTGTAATAGACAGTTGATAAGTTCTGACTTAACATCTAGACAAGACTAGTATGGCTTCTGTGTTGGAAATACACTCAAGTGGAGACAAAGGGGACTTGTTCCAAGGTTGTTAGATGATAATTTAGAGGACACGTGGTGGTGGTGGTGGTGGTGGTGGTGGTGGTGGTGGTGGTGGTGGTTTGGACCAGGGAGGTTACAGTAGCTCTGATGGTAATTAGTTCCTCAATGTATTTTGAAGGATTTGCTCATGGCTCAGAAACAAATCCCAGGTTTGATTTAAAGTTTGTTGGCTTAACTCTTTGGAAGAATGGAGTGGTTCCAAACAAAGATGGGGACTATTGTTGACGGACTTTGAGATTAGAAGGTTGGTTTTAGGCAAACAGGGATGCCCACTAGCCAAGCAGAGAGATCAAGTAGGCTTTTGAGGATGGCTGTTTGGTTCATGCGGAAGTTTGGGCCAGAGCTATAAAGCTGGGAGTCACTCGTGGATAACCATGGGGTTAGCTCAGTCCTCCAAGTGAGTGAACGTAAAAAAGTAAAATCACATTCAAGGGCTAGGCTTGCAAGCACTCAGCAAGAGTGGGAAGCAGAGAAAGAATGTCCAGCAAGGAACGAGTGTCTCACACACTAGAAGCCAGGAACAGGGAGTTAGGGATGGGGCCTCTCACTGTATGACATGCTGCAGGTAGGAAGATGAGGAGAGTGAGTGGCTGACAGGGATTAGGTGTGTGGAGACTAAATGTTGTGTGAGAAGCTAGTAAAATAAGAAGCAAGGGAAGAGCACAGTGCTCAGACCTTGGCTTGGAGCAATATTAATGTTGCTTTCACATTGGCTCTGTCCAACCCTATTTGCTGATGTCTAAAATGCACATCATGATTTACTGGGTGTGGTAATACATCCAGATGCTACTAAATGGGCCAGTCAGATGTTAATGTCAGCAATGACTGTGAGGATAATGACTACTCCAGTGGCACTCTTGAAGTGTCTCTAGGACGACACCTGACTTCCTTCGGGATGTACAAGGAAGAGACGGTTGTTAGTTATGATCTGTGATTTGGGCAGTACTGCTGAGAGAGTACTGTATTCAGAGTCCAGTCTTCTTAGTAGTTGATGTTTGAGAAAGGAAATGTGTGGATTAGAACCCAGATGTTAGATTCACATGATCGGCATGTGATGGGACCCAACAGAAAAGCATAAGATGAGGTATGGTTATGTTTGGGTAGACAGACATCTAAGGAGGCTATCTAGAAAAGGTGAGTTTTCAGACAGACGTTTCTGGGTAGGGAGAAGTGGAATAAGAAGGGAATGAGAGGGCAGCTTTTTGGTTGGCACAAAATGACATGCAAAGAAAAGAAGCCAGAAAGCCCATAGTTTCGGATGGAGAGACAGGCCTGAGTCCTTAGACTAAGGACACAGAGACCAACCTGAGCTCATGGGGGGTGGGGTCTTCTCCAGCTACTGTGAAGAGATCCCTGTAGAAGAGAATGAAGTGAACGACAGCTCATCCAAAAGCAGCATAGAGACCAAGCCTGATGCCAGCCCCCAGCTGCCCAAGAAGTCCATCACCAACAGCACACTGACCTCTACGGGAAGCAGTGAAGCCCCTGTCTCGGTATGGGTCAGAAGCTCTGGGCAAATCCCTGCCCTGATGAGTGGCCATTTTCTCCTAGCTCAGTTAACCCCTCATGAGCCCCACGGGGAGCAGGGAAGTAGGAAGGGGTTCCATGTGGTCACCGTAACTATGGGAACATCTTAGAACTCATGAGCTCTTAGTGCCGAGAGTGTATTCCAAAGGCCAAGAGCGAGATTCTCAGCACCTTGTTTACATGACTTGGTTTGACATGTGAGAAGATTAAAAAGTATTCCAAGTCTTCTCAGAGGAGAGCTGTTGGTGGACTACTCCAGACAGCCTTTATCTGGATACCTTTCCTGGGTCTTTTTTCCCCCTTCCCTGCCTTGATCCAAAGTCAAATTCACACATGAATATAGAACCATAGGACAGCTCATTGCTTACCCACGTCATGAATGTTGCTTGAGTCCCTTTGCAGTTTATTTTCCTACTATGCTGGAGTTTATGGAGGCTAGATAAATGTCTGTGAGGACCTTTCTCCTCAGGAACACTGTTGCAGAGAAGCCAGAACTTTGCGGAAGGATTAGGGCATGTGTAGGCAAGAAGGGGCTGGGTTCCTCAAGGACTCTCAGAAAAGAGAATGTTTTATTCCACATTTGGTGGCCAGGCTAACCTGCCTTAGGATGAAAATGTCGTTGATGCCTCGCCTTCATTTTCTATCTGTGAGATTAGCTTTAAAATAGAATCAATTCCCTTCTGGTACCAATGAGAGAATGGAGCCCCAGACATGCCCGTGAAGCCCTCTATGATCCCGAGGAAAAGGGTATTGTTCACAGGCAGATCGGCATTGTAGCCGCATGGTGGGACTATAGTTCCAGAAAGGGCCTAGGACGGGAGTGCCACTCGTAGACGAGTGTGCCCTTTGAATGGCACGAGAAGGTCAGTGAGTGCTTGGTTCTATGCTGCCTCTTCTGGGCAGCTCAGCACAGTCCTAGCACCTGACCTCCGCCCTGCTCCTGAGCAGCTGTGCTGGGAACGGGGTGACTTCTAAAGCTGGGTTCCTAGTCTCCCCTTTGAAGAGTGGATCCACAGAGAGGGACCCTGGTGGCTGATTCTTGATCTCCACTGCAGTTTGATGGCTTGCCGCTGGAGGAAGAGGTGATGGAGGGTGATGGGTCCTTGGAGAAGGAGATTGCCATCGACAACATCATGGGAGAGAAGATTGAGATCATTGCGCCCGTGACCTCCCCTTCACTGGACTTCAATGACAATGAGGATATCCCCACCGAGCTCAGTGATTCTTCAGATACCCACGATGAAGGTGAGCCTCTGAACATGTGTCTGGAGCATCCCGTCACGTCTCCATTGCGCAGCATGAAAGGAAGCTGAGATCCCAGAGGAGGGAAGTGATGCAGGCGAAGAAGGCATTAACAGTGCGCCCAGGAGCCCAGCCACCCTTCCCTTGGTGGTAGCGCCCACATTAGCTAGAGATGTCAGTGCCCCAGGGACGTCAGCCCAGCCTCCTGCCCTCCTCGTCACTGTCTTCTTCATCCTCTCTTCTGCACAGGAGAGGTCCAGGCCTTCTACGAGGACCTGAGTGGAAGACAGTACGTGAACGAGGTCTTCAACTTCAGCGTGGACAAACTCTATGACCTGTTGTTCACCAACTCACCCTTCCTTCGGGACTTCATGGAGCAGCGGCGCTTCTCTGGTCTGACCTGCGGGCTAGCCCCTCCCTGACTGTCCATCCCTTTTCTCCACCATACTTCCTCCTCCTTCTCCTCCTTCTTTTTTCCTACCTCTTTCCAGATACCATCCTTTCCCCAATGTCACAGGCTCCTCTTTCTGGCCTTACGTGGTGCCAGAGATCCCCTAGGGTACTCTGGCCCTGTCTGTCACTAGCACTGCAGGCTTTCATCTGCCCTCTGTCCTCCAGACTCCAAAGACTGCACAGTGAGCAGGCCCTGCCAGCTCTTGGTCCCCGCGGGGCTCTGTGTCTACTCCAGGGCAGCCATGGCGCTGCTTGGGAGGGACCCGCTGTGCTGAGTGTGCTGCCTCGGCTCATTCAGCCCTCAGCTGTGCCGTGGGTGGGCCCTGGGGTTCCTGGCACTCGGGTGTTGGCAAGCTGCACCCCAGGCTGCTCTTTATCTGCCTGCAGTCTAGAAGGGCTGAGTGAGGATTCGTATCTGGTACCCTGGGGGCTCATGTTCTCACTCTCTCACTTAGGTTC